CACACCAATAGTTTACCTGGACATACTGGTACCGCAGCTCCTTCACTCTTTCACTATTCCTCTCAAATGGCACCTTGTAGAGTTGTTTCATAGTCATTTGATGTCTTTTCAAAACTCTGTCTATTGTGGAAATGCTGACAGAATTTATATTTGCGAAGACATTGTCATTTATGATTGCACTTTGGATCTCTTTTAGCCTGATGGAATTGTTGGCTATGACCATGTTGCAGATTTCTTGTTCTTGCTGATGGTTAAATACTGCTGCTCTGCCACCAGCGCGAGGTTGTTGTGCGGTTCTGTAGAATGTACAAATAGACTTGCATTTACGTTTACAATATTGTTGTTTATAAAAATGCTTTACATACTGTAAAACAAAAATAAATAAATACATATTTACCTGTTTTCCCTACGAAAGGTTTGCACAATTGATGACACTGTGGACCTGTTTACATTAGGCTGTACTCTTCGACCAGCCTCTTCCATTGTAAAACCACGATTTATGACATGATCCACAAGTGTGGCTCTGATTTCATCAGAGACTCTGACTCTTCTATTTCCACCTCTTCCTCTATTATGTCTTCCTCTAACACCACCACCACGTATTCTTACACGTCTTCCAATTGCTCTTCCACGAGCATGTTGCTGCAGTTCAGGGTTGTGGAAGTCCTCCATTCTTAGTGATTGTACTGTGGGCAATCTACATATATATGCTCCCAAACTTGATTGGTTAAATGGTTGAATGGTTGATTCAAATTGTATTGCCATTAGAGGTCATTTGCCAATTTAGCAGACATTACAAACAATGTCAATGTCAGATATTTATGGAATATACATGCGTGTATACCAATTTTTCATAATTGAATGGATCGTTTTGAATGTGATGGCTTACACGATGAAAAATGATTGAGAAGTTGTGAAGAGTTTGACAGTTTAAGTGAGAATCGGCTCATCAGTTTTGATCAACAAGCCATATGCAATTAGTTGTTGTGCAAACTGCAGACAATTGTACTTACTGTTTGCACACATGTGCCAAAGCATTTGCAATTTGCTAAGATCAATAAGAAATTCCAATCTGATGTGAACAAGAAACTAATTGTTCAGAGATCTGAACTTATTGTTTCAGGAAAAAAATAAAAAATTCGAGAATTGAGCCAAAGCAATTGAGAAAAACTGTAATACAGTTAACATGTTGAAAGTTCATATTCTCTTATTTAATCTCGAAAACAGACACATTTAAATCAAGATATATTGATCTATCATTATTTAAAACCCATTCTTCCACAAAAACGAGCCCCTTTGAAGCACTTACACTCTAATCTGCAACTAAAACAGTGCAGGAAACGTCTGAGTGTGTGTTTGTGAGTGTAAGACAGACAATATAAAACAAAACAAACAACACACACACACACACACACACACACACACAGATCAGGGTCTGGGGAATGTCCAGTTATAAGTCACAAGGTTCCTCACGCTCACAAGGGTGAAAAAAGACTTCCAGCTGACAAATATAGGTCAATCATCTGATCTGATAGAGACGTTTAAGGCGTTTCTCCAGACACACACTGAAGATACAGCGGGAAGCTTTTGAGTACAGCAGCTCAGTGCGAGTAATGAAGCAAAGGATGAAGGAATTACACAGTAAAATAAATCCACCACACACAGCACACTGGTCCTGTATGATAACTGTGCTCATGACCAGCAGATGGCGCTGTTCAACACTGAATCTCAGAGCCATCTCAAAGTTACACTAATACTGTTTGATGCATGTGACACACAGGCAAAGTAATTTAAATATATACTACAAAAGTCTTTGTTAATATTTTCTGTCTTATTTATCAATAAAATAATATTTGCTAATATTTTGATATTTTCTGTTTTATTATTTTGATATTTTCTGTTTTATTATTTTGATATTTTCTGTTTTCACTTTCAAGTTTTAAAGTTTTTAGTAATTTTGTTGTTTTTTTGGTCATTTGTATTTTTTTTTGTTTTAAAATAGTCTAAATAATGTTTATTCATTTTTATTTATTCAAGTTTATTCATTTATTATTTATTTAGTTAGTTAGTTAGTTAGTTAGTTAGAAATATTGCCGTAGGAACTGAAAATCTGAAAATAATAATAATAATACATTTCCATTTTTATATATTATATTATTTCAGACGTTTATTTTATTTCAAGGAACACATTTTTTATTCATGTTTTTAGTTTTAGATAACAAAAAATAATCCTGATGCAAAGATATACATTTCATATGGGAGCTCAGTCAGAAAAAGCATCAGTAAGCATACTATTAACACACATGCAATGTTATTTTATTATATAATATAAAAGTTTTTATATTTTTGACATTTTGTGTTTTATAGAAAACATTTTGATATATTTTGGGTTTTATTATTTTTATATTTTCTGTTTTCTCTTTAATTTTAGTTACATTTTTTAGTAATTTTGTTGTGTGTTTTTATCATTTGTATTAGTTTTTTTTATATATGTCTATATACTATTTATTAGTTTTATTTAAAGTTATTTTAGTATTTTGAGAAATGAGAAGTAGTTTAATTTTTTACATTTTATTTTATTTCAGCTAATGTTTTTTCTATTTCAAGTAACACATTTTTTTTTTTATGGTTTTGGTTTTAGATAACTATAATAATCCTAATGCAAAGATACACATTTCAAATGGGGTCCTACTCAGAATAAATTCAGTGCACAGTATGCATACAATAAACCACTGTAATAAGATAATTAGACTGATAACCTTTCCAGATATAATAGCTGAAAACATGCAGGAACTGTATGAACAGACATGTTCAACATCACTGAGTCAAACGAGGTGGATTGAGTGTTACTGCCAAACAAACACGTGGGATGTAGAAAGGGAATATTGATGCTATGAAGTCAGCAATCACAAGTTCATGTTTTTGGCTGGGTTTAAGGTCACTATCGCTGAGTACAGACAATCAGTTGGGAGTGTTTGGGCGTGTTTGCACCACATGAATGTGATGAAACCGTCTTTGTGTTCTGTCATCAGTCTATGGACATATTTGGACATAAAACTGGGCTGATATTCACAGATCATTCTTTATGAGAAGCATTTTTTTTTAGTGCGTTAATTATATTTTAGAATAAGAAATCAATTCTGTTTTAGTATTTACACTTAATATGCACATCCTATTAGCTAGAGAAACCATCATGCTTCATCAAATAATGATCAAACCAACACTGAGCATGCAAAATGACTGACCTGTGTCATAGTCGTCATCCAGAACCGCTTTGTGCTGTAATCTCTGAAGCTTCATCATTATGGACTTGATCTAAAGAGGGTAAAACATTGTGAAACATTAGAAAAATGTCAAAGATTGTGAGTGAAAAACATTACTTCAAGTGAAAATCGACCTTATAAAGCCTACTGTATCATATATGTGATCCTGGACCACAAAACCAGTCATAATTTTAAATTTTTTGAAATTGAGATTTATACATCATATGAAAGCTGAATAAATAAGCTTTCCATTGATGTATGGTTTGTTAGGATAATAGGACAATATTTGGTCGAGATACAACTATTTGAAAATCTGGAATCTGAGGGTGCAAAAAAATCTAAATATTGAGAAAATCATCTTTAAAGTTGTCCAAATTAAGTTCTTAGCAATGCATATTACTAATCAAAAATTAAGTTTTGATATATTTACGGTAGGAAATTTACTAAATATCTTCATGGAACATGATCTTTACTTAATATCCTAATGATTTTTGGCATAAAAGAAAAATCAATAATTTTGAGCAATACAATGTATTTTTAGCTATTGCTACAAATATTCCCCAGCGACTTAAGACTGCTTTTGTGCTCCAGGCTCACATTTGTTATGCAGATTTCTAAGGCCTCAATGATCAACATGATCAAAACGTTGCAGAAAAACCTGTCGCACACAATCTACTGCATGCCTTCTGTCGTCTGATTGATAGTTTAGACTTTTTTAGCAAGTATTTCAGTATAATTGTATAACGTCCACCTTCAGCTCGCGCTTCACGTGTCTTTTTGCTGTCAAATCTTTACTGATTTTTAGGAAGTAAATGTAAGAATAACTTTGATATTGTTAGTAATATTTCCAGATGAACACTTACTGGACTGAAGCAGCTTCACTTTACTTGATTATCCATGAATTATTTTATAAAAATCAGCGAGTCTCAAATCTGATCATCAGGATCTTGAGGAGCGTTTATTTGTTCATCTCTCAATCATCATTGGATTGCATTATATGTTTCGATCATTTAAATCTAAGACATATTATTGGAGATATAGAGTGACGACTGATATTTATATCATTTTATGTCAGTATCTGCTGTACTGTTAGAAAGATCTCATTGATTTACATTACAAGCTATCAGAATTTTTAACATAAATATAAGCATCTGCACCAAATTTCATATTTTTGCTCAGTTTGGACCTCTGAATAAAAGTGAGCTGTTTTTTTCCTTCATATTCTCACTATATCAGACTATATGAGCCATTAAAGCCTGATGTATCAAATATGATACTAAACAAAAACACATGCAAATTGTTTTTTTTTTTATTTTGGTTTGATAAAAATCTTTCCATTTAAAAAAAATTGATTTTTTTTTACTATATTGACTATGTTAGTTACTTAAACAGGGTTTAAGTAAAAGCACACCTTTAGGCATCAAGTCGTTAAAAATAAATTTAAATAAATTATATTGTTTTCCCTTTAAATTAAGTTTATTTTTCTTACCCCAGTGGCAGATCAGACTTAATTTAATTAACTTCATTTAATATCTAAAGTCTTTTTACTTCACAAGTAAATTTCTCTTGATTTAAGAATGTTAAAAAAACTTAATAAACAAGTATGAAAGTATTAAACATTGTTGTGTCGTACTGACCTTGGTGTTTGTGCGATTGCTCTGAAGACAGTCTTGCAGAACATCCTCGTACTTCTTTATCAGGCCATCCCGACTCTGATCTGAGGACGGGGTTGCACTGTCGTAGCCAGACGTGACCGATGAGGCCAAGGTCGAGTCTGACGAGTCAATCGAGAGCGAGGACGTGACTTCAGTGTCCAGAGAGCCAGAGTCTGAGTCCTGGACGCTTTCTTTCGCATAAGACGCCATGGAGGACGAAATCTGTCTGTCCCGTTGCCAGAGTACGTCTAGATCCACTAGCCACAGCTCTCGGTCCAATAACAGCCCTTTCTGTTGCACCGACTGACCAATCGAGCAAGGCGAATTGCTTAATGAGAAAACCTCATGTTCTGATTGGCTAGTTGGAACAGTGCTGATCTCTGATTGGCTCAAGTGATTTACTAAAGCAGTGTGAGGTTTTAAAGCACCCGAATTTGACGTTTCAGACGTTTCACACTTCAGTCGGTCCCATTCAGACTGTTTACACACAGATTTGTTTGTGCTCGCATCTAATAGATCGCTAGTTTCTAGCGACTGCTGAATGAAACTGAAGCTCGAATTAAAAACGTTGCGCGATGGCATTGAGGAATTTTCCTCGGCAACACGGTCACGCAAACAGTGCGTTTTGGAAGAATCCTGGCTGTCGTCTCTCTCGAAAACATCCTTAAGCCATTGCTCGCTGGGGCTGCTGGGTAATTTCGAAGCGCTCTTTCGAGTGTTCTCATTAGTAGGCGAGCCAGAAACGGGAGTTTTGGAACGGTCTCGTTCAGAGTCACATGACCGGTTAAGCAGCTCTGAGCGCATGTATCCCGGCCGTCTGCGATGGCTTCCCGCTGCAGTGGTCGGACTCGCACCACCTGTTGAGAACAGATTACTGATTAAACGTCTTAGTCTTGATGATGAACCTTGAAAAGGTGCTTTATAACTGGATATGCAAACTCTCACAATGGCATTTTTGTAAACAAATAATGAGCCATGACTAGACTTGTGCCGGTATTCTGTAATGCGATATATCACGGTAATGAATATGCACAATATTGTTATCGTGGGCTCTTCTAAATACCGTGAATAATTATATATTACAAATTATTCAGAATTTTGAATGCATTTTAAGAATACTTTTCCCATCAACTGGTCAAAATGCACAACACCGCTGTATGCTGTGAGAAAGACGCGTGCTCACTCTGATGCAAATAAGCGCGGACAAGAAGCACATGGCGGATTCAATATCGTGATAATACCGTATACCGTGATAAAAGCATTAGCAATTAATCGCAACATGAAAATTTGATACCGGCATATCCCTAGCCATGACAGCTGTCGTCATGTGTTTCAGCAATGAAATCTCCCTGTGATCGGTGTGTCAGATGCAATACAGCTGTTGAGAAATTAAAACTGATGGGCACTTTGGGAAATGCACAGTAAAAACAAATATAAGAGTTTCATAACAGTGTAAAGATACAATTTAAATATGAAAATTATGGACATTTTAATAACACAGTCATCATTAAATATTGCATATTTTCTGTACATTTTTACACTTAAAACAATTTTTTACATTTAAAAATTTACATTTTTGTACATTTTGCACTTAAAACAATTTTTTACATTTGAAAATTTACATTTTTGTACATTTTGCACTTAAAACTATTTTTACAAATTAAAAATGCAGCTTTTGTACATTTTACACTTCTTTTTTTTTTCTCAATGTTTTAATATTTGAAATGGATTGTTTAATTTGACAAAAGCACTCTTTAGGGTTTCTGAAAATAACATTTCATTATTAATATTTAGTAATACTGTATTTATAATACATTTACTACTTGCAGATATAATACTTGCATTATAATACATTTAATGCATTTTAATGAGCTAACTGAGATATTTTGCTGTGTGTCTCCTCTAGAGTTTCACAAGAGATATCAACGTCTCGAACAATTCTTTAGAATTGTTTATAGTCAAAAATCTATATATATGGTCATATATATCTATATATAATCAATATGAACCAGTATCATTTTAGTGTAATTGAGATACTACTATAATTTTTATTCATAGTTTTAATTCGTTTTTTATTTTCATTTATATTTTTGATATTCCATTTTAATTTTAGTTAGAGGTAATTGTTGTTTTTGTCATTTGTATTAGTTTTTGTTTTTTTATATGCCTATACAGCTTTTACACATTTTTATTTTAGTATTAGTTTGTTATTTTAGTACGTCAAGTTAAATTAAATGAAAATGACAAATGCTTCACTTTAAAATTCATATTAGATATAAATATTAAATTAATTAAAATTAAATAAACACATATATTAAATAAATTGAGATAAATATTGTTTGCAGGAACCATAAAGAGTTGTTTTATAGTAAATTAAACACATTGAACTAATTTGATACTTTATGAGATGAGATCCATCATCCCTCTAAACTATGAAAGCAACATCTGAGCAATAAAACGTTTCCTCTGCGCAAGTAAAACTGACTGTAAGATGAGCCGAAATGAATGCATAAACGACAAGCCATCATAAAATTATGAACTCAAAACACCAGAGACAAAACAAGTCTGAAACCAAAACCTCGACATATACTCAACAAAACACATCGGTCTGTTGTTCTGAGGGTGAAAGGGAGGGATCAGTAGAAAAACTCTCGAATGAACTCTTTTTCTGCAGCTGTGATTGGCTCTTTAAAGACGTTTCCCACAATCCCTCACTGCAGCGAATGCAGAGCGAGAACAGCTGCAGTTCAATGTCTCTCTCGCAGATCTTTCGAACATAAACACACAAACTAACTCACATGAGAAATAACAGAGAGTCCATTCACACGCCAGTGAGCCCCGAGAGAACAGACTACCAGACCATCACTAAGCCAAAACCTGCCCTCCAAAAATGAGGGAAATGTTTAAAATAGAAGTTTATATCACTGACTTCTATAGTCTGAAATGGTGTGCATATACTTTTCTTTCAAAAAAAGAAAAATTATGCCAACGAATCTCTTTGTATTTTCTGGCATTGCGATCTTTCACCATAATTTACACGGAGCTAATGAAGAGCAGATGAAGTCACTGCTGAAGAATGTTTTCTAGAGAGAGGAAGAGCTGCTTGAGCGAGAGACACATCCTCTGGAAGACTTGAACAAAAGGACGTTATTGAACAGTCGAGTAGAGCAGGGATTCACAAACCTTTGCTACCAGACCCTTTTCACATCAAATATTTGGTAACACTATAGATTAGGCAACACATATTCACTATTAACTAAGAGTTTCCCTTCAATAAACTCCTAGTTTGCTGTTTATTAATAGTTAGTAAGGTAGTTGTTAAGTTTAGGTATTGGGTCGGGTTAAGGGGTCTAGAATATGGTCATGCAGAATAATCATTAATATGTGCTAGGCCTGGGCGATAAAACGGTATCGATATTTATCGACGTTACACCTTCTTCGATAACGATAGAAAAAATGTTCGATATAGCGCACGATATAGGCACGTGCTATGAGTGACGCAGACAGCACACACAAACACGAACATGTGCTGTGCCTGCCTGTGATGAGGAGATTGTGAATAAAAAAATGAATTAGTCGAATTTAAAATAAACATTTGCATTTGAATGTTAGGTGTGCGTCAGGGGCGCGCGAGATGTTTAATGTGTTGTTAGTCTAGCCCGCGAGATGCGCCGCTGCTGTGTTATGCATTCAACATATCAGAGAAATATAGAAGCTCAATGCGTAGAAGATCTTGATTAGGTTCAAATCGAAACCAAGCCATTCACGCAGAACGCATATTCAGCGCATTTTTTAGACGGACAAATATGACTGCTGCACTCGCGTCTCACACAAGAGATGTATAGAAAGCCATGCAATGTTAAAACGTTTAGAAAACACGTCACGAATTTGTGGAGGTTTATTCCTTTTCACTGCGTCTCATATGTTTTTAAATGCAGT